TGGGAATACACCAGCTCGGCATCCCAGTGAGGCACTGGAACATCTGGACACCAATAAACATTAAAAACTATCTACCAGGGAATGAATGGAACAGGAAGTAGCAGGTTGATTAAACAGAGAAATACAGACTTTAAGAAGGTAGAATGTCCAATTTCAGTGAGATTTAGGAAGAATATTTGCCCGGTTCTTGCCCTCCACCTGCCTGATAAAGGATTACGAACAGAATTCCTACCAAGAACTACCAGGTACTCAGGCCTGGCTGTTGAGAGCCATCCTATGGCCTCTCTCTGTAGTTTAAATCCTAACCCCAGATGAATACAACTTCCAGGGATGGAGGGAGAGGTTGTTTCCACCTGGCTGCATGATTTACAAAGCAGGATGTCTCCCACAAACATCTGCTCCCTGCCTGTGGGTTTTACAGAGTGTGCTCAGGAAGTGAAGGGGTGTAAGTTTAAGTTAAGCCACTGTTCAGCTTGTCCAGCGATAGGTCTGGTCTAAACTGATGGATTTGGGGTATTCTGTCTCCAAAAAGGGTGGTCAGGCCTTGGCAGGGGCTGCCCAGGGAGGTTTGGAGGTGTCCAAGGCAGGCCTGGCCGTGGCACTCAGTGCTCTGGGCTGGGGGACAAGGTGGGGATGGGGCACAGGGGGGATCCATGACCTTGGAGCTCTTTTCCAACCTCAGGGATTCCAGGAAATACAAATCAATCTATTTGCAATGGAAGATCTGCCCCCCTGGGATGAATGCAAGGCTTCAGATGAGATTCTTGGAAAGCTGTGAAAGCTCCTCAAGCCCTGCCCGTGCCAGGGCCATGGGAAGAGGCTCCCTGGAGGGACCAACCAAAGGCTCCCCCAGGATCACAGATTCACCTCAACACCCACCCTCCCTCCTCACTTCGCTCCCAAACCTCCCAACCCGGCAAAGAAGAGCAATCCATGAGCAGTTTTCCCCACACGAAAGCTGTGCTGCCCCCATGGGATGCTCACCCCAGCAAACAGCTGAGCCAGCAAAGCACCCAGCACAGCTCCAGGGCTCCATGAGCAGCTCCAAACGCCATCCCTTGACTGCCTCACCCCAGAGAACCCTTTCCTTCTGATTCACGGGCCGAGCTCTGACATCACAGGGGCCCTTTTCCATTCCAGCTGCTCCTCTGATGACTTTAAATGCTGCAGAAAGACTCTTGTTTTGGTCATGGTAGACCCTTCTCACCGCACCGACCAACCCTTCTGGAAGCGTTCAGTATTTTAAATAGTCAATGTTGCACTTCTTCCTCTGAATTTTATTTTTTTTATGGTTCAAAATCAAATTTTTTTCCTCGGGTCTAAGCGAGTCTTTGCCCTCAGAAGCAGGTAACAGAAATAAACTGCAGCCTTGCACCGGAACAGCTGGAGCACCACTTTTCATCCCAAAGAAATTATTACCTCGCTGAAAATGAACTCCCAAAGTTTTTAAAGGAGGGTCACACGAAACAGGAGACAAAAATGAACAGAAATTACTTCCCTAAGTTATTAAAACTATAAATAATAACAGGCTCCTAAAGATTTTCTGGGTTAGATGCTCTGCTCTGTTCCCGAGGAAGGAAGGCAGCGTTCTCCACCAGGAGAGTTTGACATTCCATGTCAAAAAAGCCTGGAACAGGATCTTTTTGTCATTTGCTTCCTCTCAGATGAGGGCTGAGGCTGAAAACTGAAAATCTTCAATATCCCAAGTCTTGAGCCATTTTGGAGGAGGGGAACCGAAAAAAAAAAAAAAAAAAAAAAGCCCTTTTTCTTTTAAATAGGCAACTCCTTTTTAAATATGGATGCACGAATCTAACTTTAGCTGTCCAGGTTTTCACATTCCTGATCTCAAATACAGAAAGTGGAGCATTAATTTAGTCTCTTGACTCTCAAGGTTATCATTCATTGAGGTCAAAGACTCCTTCCTCTGAAAAGCAGAACTTCCAGTTTCAATATGAGAAACGTTGCCCTTCACTGAGTTAACTTCACCCGGCTCCTTCCTGGCTGATTTCTCCCCAAAACCCATGGACACGGTTTTTACTCACAGAGTTTCTTTCCTGCTTTGTTTTGTTGGGGGTTTTTTTGGTTTTTTTTTGTTTTTTAACTACTGACACACATGAAAATGTTCTTTAAAGCAGCTACAGGCTCAGTGAAATCAGGGGCTCGAGTATCAGCACTGTGAGACGCGAGAGACACGGCCCAAATCAAAATTTTCCTGCTGCTCTTACACAAAACCGACACCTCAGCACTTGCAGATTGGAAACTCGACCCGACCCCAAGAACTTCCCAGAAGTTTTTACTCTGGATTTGTTATATTTTAGGAAGCAACACGGCCGGGGGAAGGCAGGTACCCCTGCAAGGACTGATTATTTCATTGCTCTTGCAATGTTCTAATTGAAAACATTGGATTGGCTTGGTTTTTTTTTCCTTTTCCAAACATGAATAGTTTAATATTTTAAAGGTGTTTTTTTTTTAAGTTAAGAGCAGCTCCAATGTTTTGTCAAACAATACAGCATCACATTTGCCTGCTTCTCAACACCTCTGGTGCATTCTATGCATTGCCACGTTGATGACGAGAATTACTTGATATTATGCTGCTCTGTTTTCTTACAAAGGCAAAGAAAAGAAGATTTTTTAGCTCTTCCAAAGTTTAAAAACCAAGACGAGTCAGTATTTTTAGATACATATTCCCAGGTCAAAAAGTCAAACCCAGAAAGCTGTTATAAAACCAGAGGATTTTTATAAGGAATCTCCACAGAGAGGAGGGGAAAAAAAAAAAAAAGTACCAACCAACCATAGAATTACACTGGGATTAAAAGGAGCAGGATGAGATGCAGCAATAACATCGGAACATGAACTTCTAAACACAAGGTGGGAACACAGCACCATCCCAAACTGCCAGGAGAACTACCAGCATAACCACAACCATAATTCTTAGGTTTCTCCCCTTCCCAAAACGTCCTGGAGAGACTTTCAAAGCACAAAGGAGTGAAAAATTCCCAGTCTGGAAACCGCTTTTTTATCACAAACCCCCCATTCTCAGGCGTTACCTGATGACACGTTCCCTGTGTCATCACAACTGAAACAGAAACGTGGCTTTTCCTACAATTTCTTTGTATTTTCAGGGTTTGGAGGTTTTTTTAAAAGCAGGCCTTAACACATTTCTGTGTTTTCAATCTAAAATTAAGGCATTCCACGGTAGAAAAAGTGAATAAATCCTCTTCCTTCAGAGGACTGTTTCCCCCAGTTACACTGAGGGTAATTTTAGGGTTTCAGAGTAGGTCAGCTGGCAGGGAAATGAAGTGGTGCCCGTTAGAAGCTTTCACCCTTTAACCAAAGGTAGTTTAGACACCACCAGCCACCTCTGATCACTCACCCTCAAGAAACCTTCTTGAAAATGCAAAAGAACCACCACCAGTGACCACAAAACCTCTCGATTCCGGGCCTGAGCTCCCAGCAGCTCCTTTGAACCTCAGCAGAGTCACCAGGTGACTCTTGTCACTGCCCCACAAAATAATCCCAGTTCAGGTTTTCATTTTAAGGCTGCAAATCTTGTTTATTCTCAGGAACTCCAACACTGGCCCTCCCAACAAACAGAAAACCTGAAAAATAATCTTACTGGTCCAACTTCCAACACGTGATTCTGTCATGGCAATGATTTGCAACCTGTATTTATCAAGGGCCTTGTGAATAAAGAATCTGGGCTGCAGGAGAACAGAATCACCACTTAAAATTTCAAAATCTTGCCTGTATTTCCATTCTTTAACCTCGTCATCCCCCAAGCTCGGCATCATCAGAAACCCTGACCAGAACTGGAAGTGCTTTCGGTTGGGAAGTTTGGAATCAGATTAAGGTAACTGCAATTTGAAACTCGGTTCTCCCCGACACATAATTTCACACCATTATCTCTCCTTTCAGTTGGGGGACGAACACCTTGAAAAACAATTTTCTCAACGTTTAAGTCCTACTTGAATCTGGGGCCACCAAACGAAGCTCCCCCCAACACTCGACGGGCCATCATCACAAGATGCAATTCTGAGACATTTCGAGCTTTAGGTATTTAAAACAAATTAATTACCCCTTTGGATTAGCTTCCCTCTCTTCCCCTCTTTGCCCAAGCTAATTTTAGACTCCCTCAGACCCCTGTTTCACTGGAGTTATCACCACACACCCCACAAACACTCCGGTGGGGGATGAAGGATGTTGAGTTCTCGCCGAGTGAAATCTCCACTTGCAGCGTCTTGGGCTTTAATCCAAGAGGCTCCCTGTAAATATACCCTGCAAAGCTGTTTATGCAGGAACAGCTGATGCAACTGAAAACTGTCAATCAGGAGATGATCTGGATGCACACGTAAAAGCTGGCCAGGTTTTTTTTTTTTTTTTTTCCAGCCCCGAGGATTCCTGGGCTTTAAAGCTGAACAAGCAACCCAAGGATCGTGGCTTTAGGTGTGTTTGGCTCTCATGGGCCCCCCAGAGCTGCTTCCAAAACAAAAAAAACGGTGTTTTGGTATAAAGGACTCCACCAACCCTCTCAGATAAACTGGATTTTAATTCTATTTCTATGGAAAATAGGAATTGTATTTCCAGCAGAAGAGTGTCACTAAAAATTATCTATTGGATCTGCAAATGCATCTGTCACTCAGAGGATTTGGAGCAGCCACAAAAACGGAAGGACTTCCTAAAACATCCATTTTAAGAAGGGGGTAACAACTTTTTCCCGCACAGGACGTCCCCAAAGAATCAGCACGTCTTCAAAAGCAAACCCTTTCAAAGCACAAACCCTCAAGAACAGGAGTTCCATTCAGCGAAACCCATTTTGTTCCTGGGAGGAGGAGAAGAGTTTCCAAAGCTGCAGGAAGGTTTCGAAACTCAGAAGGTTCAACACCTCGAAGGTTCTTAAATATTCTGCCAAGTTTGGAACAACAGAACGGAAAAGAACCGAAAAACATGGGAAAACGTGGAATATTTTCCCTTCTGAAAAAGCCTTGGAAAAACAAGCTTACCTGTATGCATCGTCTTCTTTCAAGTCTCATATCATCCTGCGGGGTTGTGGGGCCAGGGGGAGTCCAGCAGCAAACAACACTGGCAAAGAGGAAGAGGAAAACAGGGATAAACTTCCATCCCCTGGAGCCACAGGAGCTCAGCCCGACCCCACAGCTCAGCAACAACCCCAGAGGAGTTCACACAGCAAGTGAAGTTTCCCGACAGTGAAAGCAGAGACTGAACCCCCACTGGTATCTGTTGTTATAAAACCACGTTACCTGAGTGTCAGAATTTCAAGGATTAACTTAAATTTCAACTGGTCATTCCACAGTTAGGAGAATTAAGGTCACCCACCTTTGCCAAGCCCTTAAATGTGTTGATTTTTACAGAAACTCGGGGACAATATTTATAAAATGTGACTCAACACGTGGGATTTGAGTGAATTAACAAGCTGTAAATGCACAGCAATCCACAAATGTAAAGGGCCATTTTTCCTCCTATGCTGATGGAATTAAGGTCATTTGAGTGAAAAAGAGAATTGTACTTCCTGTAAGGTAAAGAGATAGAAAGACACGAGTTTCTAGGAAGAAAACTCCAAGGGAAGTTAAAAAAGAGAACAGCAAAATTATGCCAAAAAAAAAAAAAAAGAAAAATATAAATAAAAACCCAAATAAAACACCAAGCCCAAAATAAAACACCCAACAACTAAACCTGGTCCAAGTATTTCTCAGATATTTGCTTTTCATTTGTTCTCCAATGGTTTGTTTTATTGTTTCCATCCTATGGAAGCATCAAACCCCCTCAGAAATTACTGAGGAGTTCAGAGAACTCTGCCAATTACCAGCTGAAACTGGACAGTCAAGTTATTACTATTTAAACACCTCCTGAAATATGTAACTTCCAGAAGTGTGTCCAGCCTAAAATGCACTTAAGGGGCTGCAATTTGAGCAGAAAACGTCGCAGTTCGCTCCATTTCTCCCCAACAATGATGGTTTAACCCTGCCCAGACCCCCCCTAAGCCCCATTTGCCTTCCTGCCACCACTTTGGGATTGTCCTTGTGCCTCCCAGATGGGAAATTGGGGCCAGGAAGACAAGGAACAGCTGATTTTGGATCCAGGGAGGAGCACGTGTTGTGGTGGGTTTGGGGGTGTTTTATGAGCAGGTGAATTCTTGGTGTCGTGGGGGGGAAAAAAAAACCCTGCCCATCCCACATCAGGAATTTGATTTTTGCTGTTCCACAGAGCCCCAGAAAGTCACTGCCACAGCCACAGGAGCCAGGAAGATGGAAAAGCTGGGGAGCACGGCCTAAGGATGCACAAGATCCTACAAACCAGGCACTTTCGTGTCCAAATTGCCTCGATTTGGGTCCAAGGTTTGGTCTGGTACTTCTGATGAGGGTAAAAAACATCCCACAGACACACACACCAAGCTCAGTCCCACTAAAGCTCAGCAGAGGCAGCCCCAGGTACTCAAGAAGCAAAAGGAAAGGAAGAACAAATTCTTATTTAAAGAAGCAATAGAATGGTTTGGGTTGGGAGGGACCTCAAAGATCATCCAGTGCCACCCCCTGCCACGGGCAGGGACACCTTCCACCAGCCCAGGCTGCTCCAAGCCCCGTCCAACCTGGCCTTGGACAATTCCAGGGATCCAGGGGCAGCCACAGCTTCTCTGGGCAACCTGTGCCAGGGCCTGCCCACCCTCCCAGCCAGCAATTCCTTCCCAATATCCCATCTAACCCTACTTTATTTCAATTTGAAGCCATTCCCCCTTGTCCTGTCCCTCCAGCCCTTGGGAATAGTCTCTCTCCATCTGGAGCTCCTTCAGGCCCTGCAAGGCCACACTCAGGTCCCCCCAAAGCTTCTCTTGTCCAGCTGAACAATCCCAGCTGTGCCAGCCTTTCCTCCCAGCAGAGCTGCTCCAGCCCTGGGATCCTCTTGGTGCCTCCTCTGGGCTCTCTCCAGCAGCTCCATGTCCTGGAGCACCAGCTCTGTCCATCCCACACGGGTATCTCAGGGTTTCAGAGCCACACTCCCATTTTTGAAAGCTCCCTCTGCCCAACATACTTTGTTTTTCTCTTGGAGCTGAAGCCCCCATGGACAGAAGGATCATAGGAAGCCTTTCCCAACCACCTCCCAGCCCACCAGGTTCAGTTCTAACCCAGCTGAGTTCCAACCATCAACAAATGGAGTTTGAGCAAAGCAGCTGATTTTTCAGCCACAATAAATTGTGGAAATTCAAACACTGTCTCCTGCCCATTCCACAGTGGGAATGGGCAGCTCCCAGAGCAGCTGGAAAGGTAACTGCACAGCCCTGAGTTGTTTTAGAATTTAAAAGACACTCTCAGAGCCAGCAACGCTAAGGAAGAGCTGCTGCTGTGACAGAAGGTCCTGAACAGATTATTAGCAGGGAATCAACACATCCATCCATTCCAGAGCTGAGCAGGAAAACACACCCATCCCAAACTGATGCACTTCTCCAGTTCCTTCCAACTCTCCAACAACCATCCCACCCTGGAGAGCTGGAGTTCCCCTGTGGAATTCAGCCCCACAGGTGGCTGGTGCAGCCTTGTTTTCTGAGAAGGGAAAACACAACACTAAAGTCATTTTATATTTTAAAAGCCCTGCAGAGCCCGAATTCGATGAGTTCCTGTGACTGCAACGGGACCACACACACACAGAGCACAAAACGGTAACAATTTTGGGGTGGGTTTTTTAACAGATACAACCAAATCTGTGAGATCCTGACTGGAAGGATCCCCTCAGCAAGAACATCTGCTGGGCTTCAAGAACCCACTTTCAGCTCCTTACTGGTGTGGGACAGAAAGCTGGAAAAGAAGGGGGAGAGGAAGGAGGAGATGACAAGAAAGGTGTTAAGAAGCACATTATTTGAAAGAATAAAAGCTGAAGGTTTTTATTTAAACAGAGCTGATTTCTTGGAAATCAGCCGTGTCTGAAGCCACCACAGTGACACTTTACCTCGTGCTTTTATTTCCTTTTTTAATCACTGTTGCTTTCTGCCCTTCGTCTCTCCTACCCACACAAGGCTCCTTTGATCTCCCCAAAATACAGGGGATGGAGTTACCTGTGCAGAGCCACTCCATGTTCAGCAGTAATTCCAAGTGCAGAGTTTTAAAATGTTTGTTTAGACACACCAGAGGTGTGACCCCAAGTCATACATAAAGATGGTGACTCTGAATAATAATAATAATAATAATAAATAATAAATCCTTCATCTTCTCTGACTTTTGCTCACACCACAAGCCTGGTATGCCTTTGGCCTCCTTGAGGACTGATGTTTTATTCCCTGCTTTCCTTGGGAGCATCCACTGCTTCCTTCCAAACGCTCCCTTACCCACCGCAGTCAATAGGTTCAGTGCAGATCAAAGTTGCTTTCAGAGCAATCCCCCCTCCTAAACCCCTAAAAGTTAAAGTGCAAAAACCATTACCGACATGAAAATTTAATTAAAAGGGAGAGTCTGCTGGGGAGGGTTTTCCTTTCTGCATTTGACTCATTAAAACGTTTCATGTCGAGGTTTATTTTCCTTCACTCGGTAACCAGATTCGACACGGCACCTTTTCCAAACTCATCCCACCAAAGTTCTTGTTTTGTTTTGTTTTGTTTTTCTTTTTTATTCTGTGAAAAGGTTATTTGGGAATTTTTCAAGTGGAATACAGAGAAATGCCTGCCCACCTCATGGCTACACAGAGCTGAACAGAATTCAGGTCACTGACCTTTGGGGAACACGGGCAGGGCCTGTTGCTGCCAACAGAAAATCGGAATACTTGCTTAAAAACAAACAGTTTGTCATTATTTACTGGGAGAATCACCCTGTTAAATTGAGATTATTAACATACTGGAACATAATCAATTTAGGCACACATAAACCTGAGCTGTACACTGGCAGCCAGCGATGCTGCTCGAAATAAAACCAGCTGGGCAAAAGCCTCACCAAACACAGCAGGTTTGGTGGATTATTCCAAGTGCCAAGGACCACCAAAACCACTGGGATTTACAGCAAGTAAATAAGTCTCTCTGAGTGCTCAGTGAGTGTCAACTTCCAGGAGGAGCTCCCAGAGTGAGGAGCGGCAGAACTGCTGGTTTTCCAGCACCCAGCACAGGTGCTTCATTCCCTGGGAGATGCCGAGGGATTAATGGACAAATTCAAAGGGATCTGAGCACCGAACGCTCCCACGTTCTGCTGTTCTGCTCACAGATGTTCCCAAAGAAGCCCCAGATCCCCTTCTCCAGGTTTGAGTGCTGTGGGACCGTGGAAAGCTTGGGAGCTGAATGTTTGCACTGGAACAGCAAAGACAGAATCAGGGAATCCCCAGGATGGTTTGGGTTGGAAGGGACATTTAAGATCATCTCATTCCAACTCCCTGCCACGGGCAGGGACACCTTCCACGATCCCAGGTTGCTCCAACTGGGCCTTGGACACTTCCAGGGATGGGGCAGCCACAGCTTCTCAGGGCAAAGGTTTTTAAAACTCACCAACTTTAGGTTTTAAAGTTCTGAAGTCAAGAAGAAAAAACAATTCACCTCTTCCTTTTAATTTGTGTATTCAACAGAACTTCCAATGTCAATGTTTAAGCAGGGGGCAAACATTCTCCTCCAAGAGCATGGAAAGGGAAGGCTGCAAATTTGGGAAGAGGGCATTTTTGCACAGCTCTGGTGGAAAGCCACCAACCAGCAAAACTGAGTTTAAATCAGACTTCTCTCCCTCCCAAAGAGTCGGAAGGGACAGTGCTGGACTGAAAACCCCAGAGTTTCCAGGTCAGGATCTGGGAGATGCTCCTGAACCAAACGTTATTTCTCTTTTGTACCCTGCAAATGGTTTTCTGAGTTCCAAAAAAGCCCCAGTTCCTCTAAAAAGAACATCCTGTGAATGCCTAGTTCCACTCTGCAGCTCAATCATCTCCGCCACGTGATGCAGGGAGCCATCCTGGAGGTGTGAAAACATGTGGAAGCAGCAGCTTTCCTGAAATCCCAGAGTTTCTCACCCACGGCCAAACCTGGCAAAGGTTTGAGCTTGCGCTTGGAGAAGAGCAGGAATTTCTTTCCAGCAGCAGGAGCAGCAGCACTGCTGGAGCAGCTGCTT